TAAAGGATTCTGAGCAAAACGACAACGCTCAACACAACGTTCTCTGAGACAAAAATTCTTCAATCCAAGAACAGATTATGGGATGAAATTTGAGCTGGACTAGCTTCAGTTGAAGCTTAGAGTGATCAACTTTATCGAAAGCCTTGGAAAAATCGAAGTAAACGACATCACAAGCTTTTTTATCTTCAAGATAATCACTCCAATCATTGATACATTCCAAGAGATTGGTTTCACCGACCTACCAGGAACAAACCCGTGTTGATTGGCAGGTATAATTCCGTTTTTATCCAGATGCTCCATAATATGCTCCTTAAGAATTCTCTCAAACATGTAACGGTGTAACGAAGAAGTGCTTCCATCTTGAAGGGACTTCCGTGAAACATAGCGACTGGTTAAATAAATAAGCCAGCGGTTCTGCTAGAATATGCGCTATGTTCTTGACAAACGTAGGTGGAATAAAATCCGGAGTCAATGAGAAAGAATTAGGCAGCTCTTTTAAGAGAGCATAGATTGTCCCACTGTCAACCCACGGAAAGCTAGTCATTGGACTTGTGACTGAGGAGCAAAAGCTGGTAAGGACCCGTCTTTCGTGAACACCTCACAGAACTTGTTAGCCAAAAGGTTGACTTTATCCTCATCCAATACTGCAACCACCCCATCCCCAGGTTTTGGAGAAAACTCAAATTTTGACCTAGTTCCGAAGAAATGGCCATTGATAGAGTTAGAGCTCATAGGTACCTCTAGCCGGTGAACTGAAAACGAACACCTCGTTCATCCTTCTCAAATAATGGGAAGCTTTAGTACTGATGAGAATGGCAGACATACAAGCTGGTGATGTACAACAGGGCACGCATGATGGAATATGGCAGGTTCATCTCTTCATCAAGACGTGGTATATTGGTTCCACGGCTCTTCCATTCGCAACACTTAATCTCGATAGCTGAGCGATTCCAAGGACGTGATGGGAGGGGTACAGTAGCGGTCAAAAGTTTGGAAACTTTTTTATTTTTGATCTAGCGCGGCCGACACACAACGAAATTGTCCCAAATTTAGATATTCCATACAAAATCGAGTCAGAATACGACGGGAAGAACAATTTCCAAAAACCTATAATCATATTTGAGAAATAAGATTTTTTTCAAGTAATGGCGCGTCAAAAGTTTGGAAACTTTTTGTTTCCCTTATCATTATGATTCCTACTCTTCAATGTTTACTTGTTTCTGTTAATTTTAGTTCAACCATTGAGCAATGTGTAATTTCAAAATGAATTCATATGCAAAGGAAGCAGTTTTTCCATGGGAGGTCCTTTTTTAAACCCTACAATCCGGAATACGAAATTGAAATTGTTTCTTAGTAGTTCAGTCTCTACGGAAGCAATATTATCGAATGTTTCTAGCGTTATTGGAGTCGAGTAAGCATAAGAAGAATGATCATTCACAAAAAAGTATCTCACAAGAAAATTGGCCCTCCTCAAATACTTCGAAGGGTGGTTGGCACGTCCCGTACCCCCGACATTCCCAACTAAGAGACAACTTTTTCTGGTTTTTTCCTAATCATATGAAAGTCCAAGTGCAGCCCAACATCGGCCGCGACCTGGTGAATATTACGGATGATGTCCCAACAAGAAGCCATTGTTGGGCTTCAAGAGCAGGATGGCCCAACTGGCTTCCGCACACTAACGGCTAACATGGACCGAAGGCGAGAGGTAAAACTTTGTCCTCAGCGACGAATGGGATTTCTGTCTTCCTAAAAATGATGTTGTGGACCCTGTGAAGTGTTTATCAACAGGAAACCTCATTTTGAGTACCAGATCTCCAACAGTCAGAAATAGTGGAAGTACTGTCATGGATGAAGATGTGTCCGACCATTCGGCGATTCCCCAGTTCTAGGTATCCAGCGAAATGTGGGTTGGGCTAAGTACAAGTATAGTCTGTAGAATACAATGCTTACCTTCGATAGTCAGAACTAGCCGGAAAAGATGGGTTTTCTATTACGGAAATGACCCGATGCAGGCCTACCTCCCCACTGCCGCCTTCCTAAACCCAGAAAAAGGAGCTGCTATGAAGCGACCAAGTCAAGATCTGAAGTCTAATTGAGTTCTACATCTCACGGAAAAAGTGGCATGTCGCTCTACCCACGTTCCAGTTAAGAATCCCACCAAACAATGTGATTTAGTTCACAGTGTAGGTCCGACTTAAAAATCCTAAAATTATTTTATAATCAACTCCATGTCAATAAAAACGACGCTAACATAGAAATTCAAAGCTACTCATCGAATAACTAATTTATCATGTGGATTTGAGAGCTATTTTGCCGAATTCGCTTTGGAATTCGGAAGTTTCCAAACTTTTGACGCGCCATTTCTTATAAAAATTCGTATTTTTCAAATGCGATTTCAGTTTTCAAAAAATCATGTTACCCATCGTAATCTACACTGATTCTGAATATAATATGTGAATTCGGGGCAATTTCATTGTCTATTGGCTACGCTAGATCAAAAATAAAAATAAAAAAGTTTCCAAACTTTTGACCGCTACTGTATGTGCTCAAGGGCGTGGTGGGGATGTTCTATATGGAACCGAACATCGGTATCCGTGAATTAACAGAGCGTTTCACTCTATTTCCGCGCTGCCTTCGTTCTCAAGTTGCCCGCCGACGTGCGTGATGACCTGTAGGGCCATGGTGAGCCCTCTTTTCGTAATTTGGTCAAAATCTCGCTTTGAAAATAGGTAATCAGGATTCTTCTAGAGTGATTTGGCGCCAGCTTGACGCTGCGAAGTCACTCCGCCTGTTTTTGATAGAAACAAATTCGTAAGGCTATTGATAGTCCTTGTCGTGAGTATAGCATTAATTTTGATGCTGAAGCAACCTAGCGCCAATTTGGAGGTGAAAAACAAAAAGGAAGCCGACGGCGCAAGGAAACCACATCTTTTCCAGCGCCACCACCGGACAGTACTTCAATTTCAAGCAAACTTCACTTTGTTTCGAATAGCCCTTTCATCAGCACCGTTCAATATTCAGATGAACTTCTCTACAAGTCCGAAAACGTCACTCTTAGAGTTAGGATGCAAAAGCCACCCATTCTTGACAGTTTTTTCGACCTTTTTTGGCTCTCGAAGGCCACTCATCGATTATGAAACACAGTATATTGTAGACCACATGAGAGCCCCTATAGAATGCAAGAAAAGCTTTTCGAAGAAGGAGTTCCATATCCTTGTTAAAAATTTTTTGAGGTGGTGTGCTCTGTATCTCGGTAGCGTTAATCAGGGAAATTGGTGAAAATCCAGTTTAGGGCGGGGGCGGCACTCCATTATGTTCTCCAATACCCTAAATATGAATGAGAGGTCATGACATGTAATCAACTCATTTAGAGTACCCTTCTGATAAGTACCGCTGTAGTGTGTAGTGAATCAATAGTGCTTCCATAATATGGCCTGCAAC